AACAGACAGAAAGAATGTTTTGATTTATTCAATTTATTAAAACCAAAGAAAATGTATAAATAATCAAAACAAAACACAAGTCATAAATTAAATGAAAGAAAGCATGAAGAAGACAATCATCTTATTTTAGCTGCCCCCTTTTTCCCCAAAATTTACGGAGCCTGCGAGGAGACATGGGGGATTTTTTTCTTTTGCGTTCCCTCGCAATACTTTTGCGTTCCCTCGCAATACTTTTGCGTTCCCTCGCAATACTTTTGCGTTACCTTGCAATATTGTTTTGCTTTCCCACGCAAACGATTGTTTTGTATATGAACTGAATCAAGTCAGACTTTTATTTTGAAATATCCAGTTGAAACAGGATGTGTCGCCACAAGTTCGTGAAATTGACATTGATGTTGCGTGGCCGCAGTGTGTTAAAATATCGGCATATAACATACTTCCATGCGTGGTTGTGTGATATATTCATTCTGAAGCTGAATTAAAGCAGTAGGCTAACTCGCTAACAGTGAACATGTGAGTTTGTTAATAAACTGGCAGCACAACAGTGTTTAACGACTTTTGCAAGGGAATGCAAAAGTTATAGCGAGGTAACGCCATACTTTTGCGTGGGAACACAAAAAGAAAAAAATCCCCCATGTCCCCTCGTGGGCTCCGTAAAAATTAAATTCTCATGAAGAAAAAAATATAAAAAAAATACCAGGTCTTTCCCAAGCAACAATTTATGTCATACACACAAATTATATATCATATTTCTTCCACCTAATGTCAAAGTTTTGGCTCTTGTGCAACCAGTCTGTTCTCAGAAAACAAGTTGGGGATCTGTCTCAGCTACTACCACACTGAGTTTTAGGTCAATATACAGTGTTTCCCAAAGTTGGGGTCGGGACCCAAAGTGGGGTCCCGAAAAATCAAGGTGGGGTCCTGAAAATATTTTAAGAAATAATTACATTTTTGCCTTAGGTGTTACAAAGGAGTGAGGTTAGTATATTTAAAATGGATAAATGTAGTATATATAGTATATAGTAGGGACGGCTGTGGCGGAGTGGTTAGGGGAGTCGTCCTGGAACCAGAAGGTCACTGGTTCGATCCCCCGTCCAGCCGTCTCAGTCGTTGTGTCCTTGGGCAAGACACTTCACCCACCTTGCCTACTGATGGTGGTCAGAGGGGTCCGGTGGCGCCGATGCATGGCAGCCCCACCTCTGTCAGTGTGCCCCAGGGCAGCTGTGGCTACAGTGTAGTTTGCCATCATCACTGTGTGAATGTGAGGGTGAATGTCTGTTAGTGTAAAGCGCTTTGGGGGTCCGGAGGGACTTGAAAAGCGCTCTATAAGTTCAGTACCATTTACCATAAAAAATGTTACTATGCCCGTGTTTAGTTGACCCGATACAAATGTTTATCATACAAAAATAGTTGGGGGCACAGGTCTCTGCTACTGTTATTTTGTGGGTCAAAAGCTGAAAAATTTGGGAACCACTGCACTTTGGTTCCCAAAGTTGGGCTTGGGACCCAATTATGGGTCATGAAGCACCTTGGATAATCTCCAGAAATCAATTTAAGGGGTAATAAAAAATTGCTGATGTAATATTTTCTCTTTAACTATCACAACAACACAAAATAAGTAAAAATAAGTATTTATATTTGTGTACAAGCTGTTTAGATTGTCAAAAAGCCTGTGTTTTTAGGGTTATTAACAGAGTTCGTGTACTCAGACCAGTAATATTTGGGGTCACAAGTTTTTGCCATGGATATTTTGTGGGTCAGAAGATAAAAAGTTTGGGAACCGCTGATCTATAAAACTGACTGAGTTACAGCTATTTTGTCATTCATACAGTGGATTAGCTGTGGCAGCCATGTTGAATTTTATTGACAATAAAAGTCAGTCTGTTGTAAATGTCAACATAACTTTCTAAAAGTTTTAGATAAAGGTACAGAATAACAAACCTACACACATATACAGTACACTGCAAAAATGATCCATGAAAATAAATTGCAAATACTAGATTATAATCTGAATCTCCTCAAATTAAGTTGTATAATCTATCAGTGTGGAAAGACAATTACACTTAGTAAGACTTCTTGAAATAAGGAAAAGGTCCAGGCTAACAAGATTAGTAATCTAACATATTCTGTATGTGTAAGTATTCAAATCCAGAAAAACAAAAAAATGTGCTTTGTCTCTAAGTGAACAGGGACTTCAGTAGAGGATGATGTGTTGTATTCTTCGTTACTGCTTGTCAGAGTTTTGGCACTGATACATACACGTGTGTGTTTTTAGTCACTTTGTGATTTCTGTGGTCGCAGCAGAAGCTTGACAGCCAAGGAATGGGTCATGACGGATGGCCGTGTCTGTCCGTGAGGATGGAGGGGTCGCCGGGGTCCTCGTCAGTGGTGTAGGCACTTCCCCGCTCAGCCCCCCTTGACGTTTTTAATTAACCTCTTAGGGAGGATCAGTCCTGGTAATCACAGGCTTGAAAGTCCCAGTATTAGGACTCGTCTGACCTTTAGGTGCAGCTCAAACACTGCAGCATACGGAAGAAGACAACAAAAAAAGAAAAAAAGTCAGTAGAGTACCAATGTAAGCCTTCTGAACTCTCATTTTCTTTGACACCATTTTCTTTTCTTTTGCTCACCTCACTGCAGGTTTTGGTTTCTGCTCTCCATTCATCTCGTTAATTCCTCCCCGCTGCTACAGACTTTGTTTTATTTCACAGCAAAGAAACTCCATTGATCCCACCAAGAGTCGAGTGCAGTTTAATGGCATTTAGTCAAGGCAGGACTTGCGAGGCTCCTTTCTACCCTTCCTCGTTTTCTCCTCTGGCTCCCACGTAGACCTCGTGGCCTCGTTATATACAAACAGAAAAGAGGCCCAGGCATAAATAAAAATAATCTAATGTTTCACATTAGGCTTCTAAGAGAGGAGGAGGCCTTGGTGCTCCTCGGGGGGAAGCACGCTCCTCTGAGTGATGTCCCAGAACAAGCAGATCAAACGCCTCTCCTCTCGGCTTTTTTTTCCCTATCACTCTATTTTGGTTGCCTTCTTTCATGTTGGGGAGCAGTGGCTTAAGTGGCTCTACTGGAGCTCACTGATGGGCTCCCAAATGAAGCCAGCAAGAGCTGTGGAAATAAATTGGTTCATTCTCAAGCTGGGACTTCTGTGGCGCCCCCTGCTGTTGGCTTTACAGAGTGTGTTGGAAGAGTTGCATCATTTCAGTGGACGGGTACTTCTTTCCATGTTAAATGAATGCTCATTGGAAGGATGGGATGGAGATAAAACCAATGGATGAAGCCACAGCTCCCCCATGTGGACATACAGAGGGATTCCCTTTTGATCATTACATACTGTTGTGGTCAGATATTTAGATCCAAATATTCTTTTTGTTAGGTGGAATAATTGAACAACATACTGCTTTAGTGGTTTTTAAAAAGAAGAATTGCAAGAATATCTTGCAGAGTACAGCTGTCCACAATCCTTTCTGGAGAAGAAGTTGTATTGTTAGATAAGACAAAAATGGAGGTTTTGGCAGAAATGGTAAGACGTATGTTTGGAGGACTTAAGATGAACCTTTCATCTGTCGAGCATGATGTATAATGCCCAAAGTGAGTGGAATAAAAAAGGCAGCAAAATCCCATAAAATTATTTAGCTTCACCTAAAATAAACAGCTATGGTTGAAACTTGGACAGATTTGGGTATTTCAACAGCACACTGACTCCAAATACACCACAAAGCTGGTTTCTGAGTGATGAAAGCAGGTTATCATTAGGCTTCTAGAATGGACTTCCCAAAGCTCTGGTGTTCAGTCTAGCTGAAAATAAATGTTCCTCTGCAGAGGAAAAGGGGAATGTTCAAAAATTACCTCATTTTTTTGATTCAAACACACTAAAACTAAACAATACCCTAATTATAAAATTGAAATGCACTAAATATCATAAATGTAATTACTTAGTCCTGCTTTTGTTGTCTCTCCATCGCCACCAAACTTCAATCAGTTTGGTCAGAAAGGAGGTTGGGGGAGGTTTCTGCTTTGTTGGGCGTGAAACTCGAGGTGGATTGAGAAGTTTTTTTTTTTTTTTTCCTTGAAATGATCATGTTTCCTACTGCCTCACGCTTCAGGTTGATCATTTTCAGAAAAAAAGTGGCATGAACCATAACACTGGTTTTCCTTAGTCTATCAACACAATTTAAAAACTGATGCATAACTTGAAGTCTCTATGACATATTTGACATTTTGCAGCAGTCTCAGAGAGGCTGCCTTCCAGCTACAGTGATTTGAATTGACCATGTGAATTGATCATATGACATACTATGCTGCTGTTCTGCATCAGGTTGTAAGGGTTCCACATTTCCATTCAAAATTCTTTAATATCTGACTAAATACATGTGATAAAATATTTTTACATTACTTGCTAACTGTTTATCTGAATTGCACTGTTTTCCTGCACACACACACACAAAAAAAAAAACATTGAAATCACATGATGGTTCACAAAGACTTCAAGAATTTGGTGACAGGGCCATTAAACAACACATTTTGCGGCCATTCTGACATAACATTCACTTTGCTGTCATAACATAAAATACCAATAAAACACATTATAAAAGTCAGTGGCCAGTGAGTATGTGTATAAATACATTATTTTCATTTTATAGTGGGGGCATGGTGCCCGATTTTATGCATATCTATATTAATTCCTGCAAGTTTCATTAAAATATATCCAGTGGTTCGTGGGAGTTCTGTAACATAAACTAACAAACCTGTGATGGTTGCATCACTTTCCCGATTAAATTAAGAATATTCTCATAAAACTGGATAATTTTACACAAACTGAGAACTTCTTGTTATCACACACCACACCCATCCCACAGGTGATGAAGTGTATTTAACTTGCACACGGTGTAAAGCAGATTATGACCCGCGTGACCCACGGGCAGGGCAGCAGTGAAGCTGCAATCCTATTGGTTAGAGGTGTTCTAGGAAATGTTAACCAGCCAATAGGAGGAGTTATTGATTTATCTCCGTTTTTGATCCGCGTTTTAATGTCAGCACTCTTCCTTTAACAAAAAGGGAAGTTTGCTGCCTGTTGTCGCTCACAAAAGGTTTTGTGAAGAAGAACGCGTCATCCACGCTGTTTGTTTTGTTAATTTACTTGGTTTATGGCAGCTAAAAGAATCCATAGATGTCACAGAGAAGCGTTTCTAAACTCCGCCTTCCGGTCAGTGCTGCTCATTACAAGTTTGGTGAGTGTTTTATTAATATTATTATTATTTTTTTTTTCATTTCAGCGTGGACCTTTTTAGACATCTTTAAAGAAATAATTAAAAATTAAAGAGGCAACTTTTAGTAAATCCTTTCCAGTGTGCAGCAGCAGCGTGTTTGTTTCTGTCGTCTGCCCTGCACTGTACTGAGAAGTAGGGCAGATTATAATTTGATCTGTGCGGTCCAAAGCCAATACTCATTTATCTGTGACAGACTGGGGGGGCTATTACAAAGAGGATGAATGCTGAACCCAGTCCAAACGTGGCAGTCCATTTAGAGGTCACCAGATGATTAAATTGAGCCACAACTTCCTTTATTTAGACATTAAACTGTCAGTCAAATGTTGAAATATGACCATCTGTATGCTTCTGCCAGATCATTTGTCCAAGTACATTATGACTGACAGACACATTATATTCTAGCTCTGTCTTCTGCTGTAAGAAGCAGAATTTGACAACTAATGTGCTGTCCACTCATTGTTAATATCTGCACAGATCCCCACATGATCTCTATTTTATTTCACTTGTTTAACTGCTTGTTAACAAACAGCTAAACCAACCAATCACACGACAGCAACTCAATGCAATTAGGCATCCATGTGGTGAAGATGACTTGCTAAACTTCATCAGCGTCATAATGAGTAAGAACGGACATTTAGGTGACTTTGAATGTGGCTTGGCTGTCGATACCAGCTGGACAGGTTTGATTAGGCATAGGCCCCGGCAGAATTTGATCAGAAAACTTTGGCCAATGAGAACATTTTTTTTTCCTGCTCAGTCCTCATCCAATTTATTCTGATTTAAATCTGGCCAGCCCATTCCAAAACTTAAAATATCTTCTGATGAAAATCATTCTTTTGATTTATGCTTATTGTCATCCTTCAAGAAAAATCCCATTTTCATCTTCAGCTTTCTAGCAAACATCTGACAATTTTATACCAAAACTGACAAATAAAACCAAAGTTCTGGCCAAAGAAAAGCAACCCCACAGCATGATGCTGCCACCACTGTGTCTTACAGTAGGTAGGATGTTTGTTTGGTGGAGTAGAGTGTTGCTTTTGAACCAAACTTACCTTTTGGAACTGTGGTCAAACTGTTCTAAACTGGGTTCATCAGACCAGATCTTACTTTCCCACACAAATTTAGGAAACATTGTAAGAAAAAGAAATATTGGTAGTATATTTTTTGTTTAAGTGGATCAAGTTGTTTATCTTTATAAGAGAAGGCTTCCATCTTGCAACCCTAAATCATTGTCCAGATAAATGGAGAACACCGAAGGTCATCAGGTGCGGAACACAACCAGTACCTGAAGGAGTTTCTGGCAGCTTCATCAGTGTTGCCATCAAGTCTCTCGGCTGCCACCCTGATCGATTTTCATTTTGTCTTGTTGTCAATTTTGGAAGGACATACTGGTTTTGATAATGTTGCAGTTGTCCTTTTTTCATTTCCACTTCTTGATTACTATCCTGTGTTCCATGGGATATTTAATGTTTAAAAAATGTTCAACTTCCGAATTATACCTTTAAATAACAAGATTTTTGATGCCTTGTGAATTCTCTGAGAACTATGGCCTTTTTTTTGTAAGACTGAAATAAGGACATAGAAGATAAACTGTACGAGGACATCCAAACTTGGATAATGTAAATGCTTCCTACTTTAATTTTTAAGTCACTTTTCTTAAGTATCCTTATGTTTGTGCCGGGGCACCCCAAAGATCTGGTGCCCCGGCACAAACAGAGCAATGTTGAATATGCTGTTAAGTGCCAGGAGGACTGCGTCCAGTTATACATCGGGGAAACAAAGCAGCCACTGTTCAAAAGAATGTCCCAACACAGACGAGCTACATCTAATGGCCAGAACTCTGCAGTTTTCACTCATTTACAGGCCAGCGGTCACTCTTTCAGAGATGAGGATGTTCTCATTCTTGATAGAGAGGAACGTCGGTTTGAGAGAGGAGTAAAAGAAGCCATTTTTGTGAAGAAAGACCGTCCATCATTAAACAGAGGTGGAGGCCTCCATTTTCAGTTGTCCCCCTCCTACAGCGCAGCTATTGCCAGTATCACTCCACCCCTTGTTAACAATAAGTGTTAATTAGGTGTCAACGATAGCCATGTGATGTATCAGTCACATCACAAAAGCCTGAATTTTGCCTGAAACTCTCAGACTGAAGAAGTCTCTTGGAGGAGAGACGAAACGTTTCATTAGAGAAGAACCCATCCAGAAGACCTATACATTTTTTTTCTTTTAAGTAATTTATTTTAGCAGACAAACATTTATCTGAGCAAAATATATAAAATAAATAAATAAAAATAAAGTAGGTTCTCTGAACAGATTCTTCTTTAATGAAACGTTTCATCTCTCCTCCAACAGACTTCTTCAGTCTGAGGTGTTTACAGGTAAAGTCAGCCTTTTAAGCAGTGCCTCCACATGGTGGACAAACAAGTTTAGCAATGATCATCAAAACTGTTTGTTCACATGCAAAAGAGGACCCTCAGCCTAACAATAGATCACTGATGTCTGAGCACCAGAAATTCTGGGGTCCTGTTCAGACATGGTCTAAATTAAACGTTATCATACCTAACTTTCAAATTGCCCAAAGTGAACAAAACTCAGTTGCTTGTTCTCCACGTAATAAACATGTAGCCAGAGTAACCATGGGCTTTCAGCTGAAGTGGTCTGTCACATACCTTTAAGCTTATCTTGACTTAAGGTTCAGAATCACTTGAGTCACACTTTTGTTACACATCTCTTAGTAAGCTTAATTATTTAACCAAACAGGATACAGGATCATAAAATGAGTTCTGACTTTACAGAGCTCTGGCCTTTTATGATCCAAACTGAAGTATTTAATACTCAGTAATTAACAGTAAACTTTCTGCCGTCTGCTTTTTTTTTTTCACACAACTTTACTGAATGTGTAAAAGTAGAAAACAGGTTCTTTGATTGACTGACATGAAACCTTTGGCTTTTCTCGTCAATGGGAACTGGTCAGCAGGACCCAGTTTTTGGGAGCTGCCATATTGTTTATGGAACCAGTACCTGTACTGTAGAAATTTTAAGTCCGACCTACTCCCCTTAGCACAAGATGTTACTGGACTTTTCTCAAGCCTGAAAAAGCTAATTAGAGCTAAACATATTGAAAAGTTGAGTGTTTAAATATACAACGGTGTGGTAAAAACTGTTTCAACATCTGCAATAATTCAATTTAGATGTGGTTTTTTTTATTGATTTAACAAGGTCAGTATTTAGTTTGTCTACAAGGACATACAGTGGTTTGCAAAAGTATTCATACCCCTTGAACTTTTCCATATTTTGTCACATTACAACCACAAACATAAATATATTTCACTGGA